TGTATATATGGATGTATGGATGTATGTTATATGGATGTTGTATGTTTATGTATATATATGCAGATGTATGTATGATCCATGGATGTGTATGCATTGATGTATGATTTTTTTTGTTCATAGATTTTTTTGTCGATTTATGTATATATATGTTCATATATATATATGTGCATATTTAGAAAAAAATTGTGTTGCAAAAGTTACATTTAAGGTTAGTTGATTTAGTGCATTTTTGGTTATTAGTTCTACTGTTAGTGCATTTTAGGATAGTAGATTCCAGGTTAGTGGATCGGAGTGGAAAAAGTAAAATAATGAAAAGGAAGAAAAGAGGAAGAAGGAAGAAGGAAGAAGACGAAAAAGAAGGAGAGGAAAAAAATAAGAAGAGGAAGAAGGAGAAGAAGAGGAGAGGAAGAAGTGGAGAAATAAATAAGAAGAGGAAAAAAGAAGAAAAAAAATAAGGAGAAGAAGAAAGGAATAGAGGACAAGACTCTATTCCTTTCTTCGATCTTCTCCTCTATTCCTTTCTTCTTCTCCTCTTTTTTTCTTCTTCTTCATCTTCTTATTTTTTATCGGGTATGTCGTTGTCGATATAACCCCTCCCCGAGAACTTTGACATGAGAGGGGGGGTCGATAAATAATATAACTAGCTAGTTAAACTAGTTTATTTTTAGTAATACTACTTTATTTTATTTATCCTAACTGCTTAGTAGTTGAACTAGTTGATTTAATAAAACTACTTTATTTTACTATAGAAATAGTTTATTTTTAGTAAGTACTACTTTATTTTATTTATAGTAAGTGCTTAGTAGTTGAACTAGTTGATTTAATAAAACTACTTTATTTACTATAGAAGTAGTTTATTTTTAGTAAGTACTACTTTATTTTATTTATAGTAAGTGTTTAGTAGTTGAAATAGTTGATTTAATAAACTACTTTATTTTACTCTATATAGAAGTAGTTTATTTTTAGTAAGTACTACTTTATTTTATTTATAGTAAGTGCTTAATTAGTAGTTGAACTAGTTGATTTAATAAAACTACTTTATTTTACTATAGGAGTAGTTTATTTTTATCAAGAAAATTAATAGAACTAGTTTATTTTTTTAGTTCAAGCAATTATTCCCGCATCGACGTCGACGATGCCTATCCCGCATCCTCCTCGTCGACTCGGTGGAGGAGGCCGACTTGATCAAAGGGGCCATGTCCGGGGCTGGGCTCCACCGGGCTGGTATTGGGAGGTGCTACCTTCCGGGGGGGCGTAGGTTGGTGAGGAGCCAGCCCGTCGTTGACCCAATCCTTGTTTAGTGGCGGTCGCGTGGGCCAGTGATGGTGCCCAGGCTTCCGGACACCGCGGAGGTGGTACGTCACCGTGTCAGCGAGGAGGACGAGCACATCCATCGCTATATGGTTGCATTGGAGGGCAGGTTTGATAATACCTGGCAGATTCTTCAGGGATCTCACTGGAGCGATCATGTGATGGTTCCTTCTCTTTGGGTGTCCACCGCCCATCCCGATACCCGTCGGGTGCTATGGTTCTAATTGTACTAGCGATGTTACATGTATGATAGTATTCGAGGTGTATTAGTGATAATATTCCACGATGTACGGACGCAAGAGATGATGTAGTTTTGCTTATAATTGAATGCATCCTAATTTGAATACTACTTTATTTTGCGATTTAATTTTGCTTATTGAATGCTCAAATTGGAAAACTACTCCTACTTTGAATGCTAAAATTGGAGAGCACTATGCAAGGCGTATGCATATGATTAGTTGATAGCTTATAGGGTTTTTGTTTTCGCAGAAATCTAGGAGCCCCCCTCCATCATCCCCGCTGTCGTCCCCGTCGCCGACCCCCTCCGACCTCGAGGTGAGACCAGCCAAATCCTTTTTTAGAAAGATAATTAAACAATATTTCGGGTTGACTTTAAGTCTGTCGAGTCTCCACCATATATGAGAGGACGAAGAAGCCCGACTGTTGTCATGGGGGTCGTTTCTCCTTCTTCTCCGAGTGCTAGACCTTTGTTATGCACTAGGGGAAGAAGGAGTAACGACCATCACCGACGGTCGCAAATCTCAGAGAGGAGTCAGTGAGGGAGAGTTCCACCATATATATATGAGAGGACGAAGAATCCCGAATGTTGTCGTGGGGGTCGCTTCTCCTTCGTTCCCGTGTGCTAGACATTTTGGTGTAATGCACCCGAGGACAAAGTGAGGAGCGACCATCATCGAGAGTCGAATATATACATCACATGAGCTGAGAGTTTTCAAGAAAAGACTCGACAGACTGATAGTCAACCCGTGATGAATAATAATGATCTAATTTAGTTTTTGTAGTACATATATTTAATTGTACTAGTTTAATCTTTTAATTATGAAGGTAGGAAATGTCGTCATCAGACGACGAAAGTCTCCCGGGGGAGTGCAGCTGGTGCCACGACGATCGAGGTCTGTGCGACATGCCTCACCTGGACGATGATCGGCGCTTCAACATTAAGCTCGAGGAGATCTTCGATGTTGAAACGGTACGCAACAACGACAAGTGCTTTTCCGTAATTAAGCATGACTAAAACTATTTCAACGTGTAATTTTCATCTTTTACAATTCGAGTAGCTTATTCCATGCCATGCAAGGCGCTATGTCTTGGAGGGGATGGGTTTTGAAGACTATGAAAGTTTTGAAACAAAGAAAATTCACCTAAGGACTCATCATGATGTGAATTTTGAAGTAAAGCTGTACAATTCTGAGAGCGTAACTCATTTTGGTTGCAAAAAATGGGAAGCACTTTGCAAGATGTATGGTTTTGATGAGGGAATGCTTGTCACCATGGATCTTGGTGATCCTGAAATCGAGCAAGACAATATGGACATTTGGGTCCTTGTTGATATGCCTCCAATTCTAACGCTATGTGAGTTTCTCAAACATAGTTATTAGCTAATTTATATTTTTTATTTCAAAATAGTTGACATCTTATTTTCATTGACAGCTTATTTTCATTCTTCAAAGAATATGCGGGAGATGGTAGACAAAACTCACTACACCGATGGCTCCGAATTAACTTACAAGGAGAAAAATCATCTGGTCGGATTTTGTACTGACATTGAGAATTACAATATCTACAATCAAACTCCTCAACATTATGGTCAATACGTGCCACTAGTGCATGTGTTCAACTACGGTAACTACCATGGAGATACCCTGGTAAGATTTTTTACTATTACGACATCCGTGCATCTTTTGCATACTTCTAAAACTAGTACATCATTGCTAACTATGAAGTTATTACTATGTTTTTCAACAGATAATCCCAGAGAATTGTGTGCCTCATTTGATGTATCAGAAAGGTAGCCTTAATGTTTTGAACATACAGCCAGGTCATCCTACGAATCTCAACTGTCCATACCAGATTTCTAAAAGAAGTGGAGACATGCAAATCAAAGGATGGAAAAAATGTATGGACAGTCGTAAGGAGGTTCTTGGAAGCAAAAGGAAGCGAAGCGCAAGAATTGGAGACAGGATGATCTCCATTCTCCATAATGGAGAGTCAGGGTCTATTTTTCTTTATGCTATTTTACCTTAAAGAGGGTATTTAGGTCCTACCTAATACTGATGATCATGTGCTAAGAACAATTAAGTATGGTTGGTTCGATGACTATGAGGATGATGATCGTATGACTTGTTATTAATAACGAGTAGAAATTGTATGATGATGATTAATAGGACTTGTTATTATGATGATGCATGATGCGAGCATGAAGAGTTATTATATATCTGTGGATGAAATGAACATGGATTGGATTGAAGTGAAGGCAACATGCATGTGGTGCATGTCGAAAATAGTACAATCGAAACTTGATCAAGTTAGGATTAGAATTACTTTCGACATGCACCACATGTTGCCTCACATCAATCTAAGTCATGTTTAGGCATAGCAGTAGCAGTAGCACGGAGATAAGAGAGGACACATCTCTCTATTAGCTACCTATATACGAACTTAAATTAACCCCCAAAATCCCTAAACCACCTCCTTTAAAAAAACAGCTACTGAAATGCTGACGCGTGGAAGCTTATTGGTCCCGGTTGGTGCTACCAACCGGGACCAAAGGCCCTCCTGCCTGGGCTCGCCGGAGCGGCCACGTGGAGGCCCATCTGTGCTAGTTTGTATAAGAATCGGGACTAAAGGCCTAGGGCATTAGTAACGACCCTTTAGTTCCGGTTCCCCAACCGGGACAGATGGGCCTTATGAAACGGGACAAATTGGTCTTTTTCTACTAGTGAAGTGCTGGCAACAAAGTGCTTTGTCTGGTTAATTCTAGTAAAATGAGCAGATACGTTACATCCAGGTATTATCAATACTGGATTGCTGTATACAACATTTAAAATAGCTTCTGATGCTAAAGTTGCACTTTCGATGTCATACCACCAAGAATTGTGGTAGATCAAGTGGAGTCACATGATGAAGTCATATCTTATTTATTGGCTTTTGAAAGAACATGGCATGCCAAGATATCGAACACAAAATGTATGGAGCGACAAGAGTCCATGTTATCAGTAGTTTCTAATAACTTTTTATGCCTTTTCATGATTTTGGTAGTTGAATGCCATGACTTTTGATTCAGTACACGTGTATTTGCATTAAAAAATTGATCTTAAATGTTCGTCCTGGCTAGCTTCAATTTGTGGGTCCGCCACTGCTTGGATCACTGACGTAGTAGCTTCGGGTGGATAACAGTTTCAAACATTTCTCAACCAAGGAGAATATTTAGCAGAACCACTGTCAAAAGAAAAGGAAAATCCAGCTCTCCGGCCACGCGTCGCCCCGCCCGCCGTCGCACGCACGCACGCTCGCGACGCGCGCTCGTCCACCTCCTAATTTAGGCGCCCCTCTGCCCCTCCCTCTCCACCCACCGACGCGACGCGGCCGCAGACCCGCAGCGTAGACCCACCCCCCTCCCCGCCACCGGAAGCTCTCGCTCCTGACCTCGACGGATCGCACGCGCAGCAATGCATCAGCCCGACTCCCCGGCCTCGCGCAGCGGCACCCCGCGCCTGCGCAAGCGCGACTCGTCGGCGCCCTCCACCCCGCGCGCGCCCCCCTGCGGCCTCGGCGGCGTCGGGAGGCGGACCACGTTCCGGGAGGACGTCGGCCACGCAGCCGCCGAGACATACCTCGTCACGCGCCTCACCTTCATCCTCCTCCGCTCCCTCGGGTACGTAATTAATGCGGCCACACGATCGCATTGATCCGATCCACATTTGGCGACGAACAGGATCAGAATGATTGGCATCACACCACACGCAAATTTCTCCAACCGATCCAAACATTTTTATTCCGTAATAATGTCCATAGGAGATCTCTGTGCGGCCAAGTGCTATAGACCCCGGTGAATGATTCCTAAGTGATTTAACCTTCTCTACAATATCTACTCTCCCAGTACGTACGTAGACCTTATGATAATCTTCGTTACTCAGCGCAAGCTCATTGCAGCGGAGTAATTTTCAGTGAATGTGATTTTTCTGTTATGCACCCAAGTTACATATTTCCCAATATACAATGACTGCCTATTACTCCCTCCATTCCACAATGTAGTGCGCCCGTGCTTTCCGAGATTCAAGTTTGATCGTAAATTTAACTACCGAGACCGACTGCGGCGGGAGCAAAAATTATACCACTGAATTTGTATTTTTGATATCAATTTAAATATATAATTTTTATCCCCGCCGCAGTCGGTCTCGTTGATTAAATTTACGGTCAAAGTTGGATCTCGGAAAGCACGGGCGCACTACATTGTGGAACGGAGGGAGTAATCTATTCACCAAAACATCCAAGCGCATTATGGTATTTTTGCCCAAAAGAAGTCTCTATGATTGAGGTTGACCATATTTTTTACACTTCCTTTATTTTTTCAGGGTAGGCTCTCGGTGGATATGTCAACTTCTTGCGCTCCTAATATATACAGTTTTACTTATGCCCGGCTTCATAAGAGGTGTGTGAAAATCGAGTTCATCTTTCGTCTCATCATGTTAGTTATCATCATGATGGTCACATATTCTTGGCTCTTGCCAATAAGTGACTTTTAGCTTGTTAAATTAAATTGCCCTCTGCACAATTGGTAGATGTTGTTGAAGCTTTTTCATCATTTCTAACATATGCATTTCATTCATTTGGATTGCCCAGTTGGGTACTATTATTTTTTCTCAAGTCAGGTTCTTAGAAGCATAGTGTATGGAGACCAACCAAGAAATAGGTAAGCAGAGTTACATACTGCAGAAACAAAAAACATCTGAATTTTTAGCCGTGTTAGCGTTACTGAAAATCATAATATACAGGTTGGATATGTACATACCCACTGATCGTAGCAAACCCAATCCAGTTGTGGTATTTGTAACTGGTGGAGCTTGGATCATTGGGTGAGTGAAATTTTTCTCAAGACGTCTTTCTCGGTGACTTCCATTGTTGATGGTCATGATTCTGTGTAGTTACAAGGCGTGGGGTGCCCTTCTTGGAAGACGGTTAGCAGAGCGTGGAATTATAGTCGCTTGCGTTGATTATAGGTGCTTACCTTTGATGGCATTTCTATCTAATTTCATGACTTCTAGGCGAGTGAGTATCGATTTACATATGCCTAGTTGATGAAATATGTAAATATATCTTGCAGAAATTTCCCCCAAGGAACAATAAGTGACATGGTCTGTGATGCTTCTGAGGCAATTTCATTTATTTGTGATACTGCTGCTAGCTATGGAGGAGATCCTAATCAGTAAGTGATCCTTCGTTATATATTTATATCACAGTACACTACTATGGATGGACTATTTGAAACATCAGATAGACAGCTGTTCTTTTTATCATGAAGGAACTATGCACCGCACTTGAATATCTGATCCATTTGGGTGGTGATTCTATCCAAAGTCGTTGTTGTGTTTATCTATAGGCTATAGCACTAGTGTCTGAATGACTTAGATGATTGAAATGTATTCTACGTATATTAAGGATAAGCGCATTGAATTTCATTTGTGGATGGACCAGTGTTGTCTACATCGAGCTGCAGGGCTTTAGAAACACACCCTGCCCGCCTGGCCTAATGCAAAAATCAAGATGCACAATTTAGATTATTATATTTGCAAATAAATCAAGCACAAAATAACTTTGCAGCTCTATTTCCTTATACTTTTACCAATGACCTTTGTCAAGACATGAAACTTATTTATCATCAACATATCGGATTTACTCTTTGAGCTCTGCAACCGTTCTGCCTTAGATCTCGTCTATTAAGATTTTCAGCTTGCTACATTAATAAACTTATTTACAACCAACCTACAGGATTTACTTGATGGGTCAATCAGCAGGAGCACATATCGCCGCATGTGCTCTCTTGGAGCAAGCAGTTAAAGAATCTCAAGGAGAAGAAATTTATTGGAGTGTTACTCAAATAAAATCATATTTTGGTTTATCTGGAGGGTGAGCTCTTAAATGAACTGTCATCTGTTTCCATTATATATATGCATGGATGATAATTGTTCTCACAACTCCTTAACCGCCTCTTAAGACCATAGTCATACATGTACGCTGTGTCTGATACATATTCGCACCTTCTGATAGATACACCAAAACTTCTCGTGATACGACCATCCATGACATATATACTCATTTATTTGCAGATACAACATGCAAAATTTGGTTGATCATTTTCATAAACGTGGTCTTTATCGTTCAATTTTTCTCAGGTAATATCATGATTGAAATTTGATTTATAAGTGTTGTTCCAACATTCCTTTAGTAGCACTTAAGTAAAGGTACTCAAGAAATTATGAACTGTTTATTTCAGCATAATGGAGGGAAGGAGATCATTGCCACAGTTCTCTCCGGAAATTGTCGCTAAAAAATTAACTCATGGAGCCATAGCTCTACTTCCTGAGATTGTACTTTTTCATGGAACAGGAGATTACTCGATACCATCGTCTGCTAGGTTGGACTACTTAACTCTCGGCAGATGCTTATTTTGAATGCAATGTTTTATACATTAAGTGGCTATGTCTTTTCTCTTCCATCATTTGCCGCTTTCCAAAGATAAGAGCATCAAACTGAAATTTGAATATGGGAAGTCAAAGGTAGTCATTACAAATTATTTTTGGATTAAAATATTTCTGCACATTAAAGAACTTAAATCGGCAGTATGACCCAGAATGTATGGTTTCGCTGTTCTTTAATGTGTAGTTAGCACAATTTTAACCACTATATTTCTGCTTAACGTATTCTTATGTTCTTGTTCCATCTTCAACCTTCCAATCATTCTGTTTTATGTGTAGTAAAATATTTGGGGATGTCCTCAAAAAAGCTGGTGCAAAAGCTAAAGTACAATTGTACAAAGGAAAAAGCCATACTGATGTATTTGTACAGGTCAGTTATCTTGAATATCAGCTAGACTTTTGATAACCTGCCACTTCATTAATTTCGTGATCTTTGCTAACTGTGATTGGGGAAACCCTTTTGACATTGCATCAAGAACGATCGATGAACAGGCTTTGATGTTCTTTGTGTTTTTTTATCGGAATTCGATAGGATGCGGATAATTAGCACACTGGACACTACTTTGTTTTCTGGAGTTCGAAAGGAACTTTGCATCGATATCTTTTTATTTTTCTTGCTCGGATAAAGCTAGTCGTCTGAAAATAATATTTTTCTGAGGGTCCTGACTTCATTTTTTCAATCCAGAATTGATTGTTTGAAGTTCTGACTTTGTTTTTCATTGTAGGATCCACTTAGGGGTGGCAAAGACCCACTGGTTGAGGATGTGGTTTCTATAATCCACGCCGACGATGCAGTTGCACGCCAGAAGTATGATGATTCGGCACCTAGCCCCGAGCGCCTGGTTTCTGAGTGGCGGATAATGTTGGCCCGGCAAATTAGCCCTTTTTGAACAGGTTTTGATTCTCTCTACATGCCAGCCTTTTTGCGCTCTCAAAATGATCTTTCAGCCCAGTGTTGGTGTTTCACTTTGATTTTTTCAGTAATGATGTACTAATGAATTTGTTTGTATGCATGCAGGTAGATTATTTCATCAGCCATTAATTTGCTTGTTTATTATACTGTTCAACACGAATGCACTAGAATGCAAGAATCTGGGCACGTGCGTTCTAAGATGATGAATTGCATGAGGTCCAGGAGAATTGTCATACTTTTTTTTAATTGAAATTGTCATAGTTTTGATAATACCAAGCAAGGGAGCTTCAAGCTCACCTGTCGCAGCATGTTCGCACTGAATAAAATATAGGTTGTAGGTAATAGCAAAAATTCCGTGAACATAGATCCGAGTTTGTATAGTTGGTACAATTACAAATATCAAGCAATTCATTGAAATTTAGATATATTGCTTTCGTACACAAGAGACGTGTTCCTGCAATAATCAAATACTATATCAAATTCGCAATATGTTTCACAGCTTGAGTCGTAAAATTGGATCATACTTGATGGAAGTGGGCCACATTTATATTATTGTGTCGCCCCGTGCGAGCGACTCGAGGGCACAAGCCCTTGCGCCACCATGCTCCGTCCTCCACCCGATCCCTCGCTGCAGCATGAGGCTGGTGCCAGCCAAGTCTGAACCCCATCCAAGGAAGGTGGCAGCGAGGTCGTGCTGCTCTGTCCCGATGGAAGGGGTGGAGGGCCCTGGATCTGAAGGGGTGGCTCCGTCTGGTCATGTGCTGCTCCCTCATGGCAGAGGGCCTTGGGTCCAAGGCGTCCCCCCTGGTGTGGCCTCCCTATTCAGTGGTGCCGCGGGGCTGGGGTGGGGTGGGGTGGCTGGAAATCCACCGGCGGGTTGGTGCCGTGGCTAGCTGACACGGTGGCCAATGGCGCTGATCTGTCCTCTACCTCTATTCCCTACTAGGTGCGCTACGTCTCACCGGACATGTCCACGTTGGATGCTAGTTGATCACCGGGGTGGGGTGGAGCGGGTGGAGTGGATCCAGATTGGGATAACTCCCTGGTCGGTTCTGGCTGGCCGCAACGGTGATGACGCTCGAGGGCACCGGTCTTCTTCCTGGAGATACCGTTCGGGTCTGCCCTACCTCTTGCCACCCTATTGATTCTCGGGTGAAAACCCTAACTGTGGTGGGCGGCGTGGCGCGATGGAGACTAAGGGTTGGACGGGGGTTGATGGACCTGCGTAGGATGGTGGTGTTTTCTGGCGTCATGGTGACGTCGACGGCAGTTCGACCTAGCAAGGTCAATGCGATGATCCTTCCTGAAGATGGCGGCGGCGGATCCTAGAGCGTATGCATGCGGTGAGCGTTGTGAGTCGCCTAGACCGGTTGGTGCTCTCAGCTTGCCAAGGGGCAACTTCTTGAGGCCACTGAATTAGATGATGCGTGTTGGTGCGGTCATGACACATCATCATTCGTGTAGGTGTAGCGACTTTGTTTGAACTCTTCTATGCCTGGTCTCCTCTTTACCAAGCATAAGTACTCTAGTATATACTGCAAGCAATATGGGGTGCTATTGAACATTCATCGATATCAGTCCCCTGGATTTCACCCACCAGCCGCAGATTGTTGTTGTTGAGAGTGCAGCCTGGGACGGTTATTAAAGTAGCAATGCTTAGCTTATTTTCAGCTTCACGGAGAGCCACGGACTTCGCAGACGCGTCTGCCTGCATCCCTAATGGGAAGCAACCAGATTTCTTTGGTAAAAGTGTTGTCAAGAAACAAGTGCTTCGCTGACTCGAGAGTTTGATCGCAATTGCTGCACTTGGTGGTCCCATCCTCTTGTTCTTAGCCTATCCGCCGTCGAAAGCCTATTTCGGAGGAGAGTCCAAATAAAGAGCCTGAGCTTCATTTCAGGCTTATAATGTTGCAAACCCTCTCGAGCATTGGAATAGGGATTTCGGATGACGAACTGGACATTGTAAGCAGATTTCACAGAGTAATTGCCATTAGCAGATAAGGCCCAAGAGATGTCATCGGGACTCAAGGAAAAAGTTAATTCTGTAGCTTGCACCATATATAGTCTGATGAAAGAATCATCCACCAAGTCAGAAGAGTTGATCCTAGCCAGGCCTCTCATCCAGATGCCAATCCACATTCTGCACCACCTCCTTTTGTTATGTGAAAAGTTTGGAACGAGAAAGCGCAAAGAGTTCTGGTTCCATCATCCCTGGGCGGCTTCCCATCAAGCCATACATGCCCTCAGAACTTGATCCTCTCACCATTACCCAGCGATAATTTAGCGCAAGAAGCGAAAAGATGCATATCCTTATGACCACACAAGCTTCGTGCAGTTCTGTTAACCTTGTCCCGTCCGAACTACGGCCATCTGAGCCCAAGGGCTTGACTGAATGCATTTTGGGGCACAAGAAATTTCTTCTTAGCTTATCAACTTTCTTCTTAGCTTGATGGGAGAGGATCAAGTTCCGGGCGCATTCCACAAGAAGTTTCTCCTTGGCTTATCAAATTTCTTCATCGTCCACTTATTGGGAGCGAACGCCGTTAGGAAATAGGCGGCCCAAGAATTGAGCACTGAGCTGATAAGGACCCAGCATGCCCGTCCTATTGCACAGTTTGAAGTTTGAACTTTCAACCCTGCAAATCCCAAACCTTCTTTTTTGCAAATTCCCGCACAGTCGCTGATGTCCAGAATGCTTACCTTTTTTGAGGCAATCCAGAATGCTTATCTGGGTCGTTTGTTTCCTATCTGACGAAGGGAGATGGGCCAACCCGAGTTGGCCCATATATGGTTATCGGAGCAGCAGCCCAACTACGTAGGCCCAGAAAGCACACGCGTATAGCAGCTGTCTGACTGCCTGATCTAAGTTGCTCAAAAAAAAGACTGCCTGGTCTAAATTTTTTTTTAGAAAAAGACTGACTGATCTGAAGTCTAAACTGTTACTATATTTTTTTTATCCGATGGATGAGAATATCGAAATGCTGAGCAGGCTCGTAGGTCACCTAGTCTTACCATTTCTTAATTAACAAGACCATCAAGGCGTGTTGCCATGCCCATTCATTTTAAGTAAACAGATACTTTTTTTAAACATGAACAAAATAAGCATCTTGTAATTGTAGAAATGTTGAATTACAATGTGTTGATACTTTATAGAGGTAGTTGGAGGTATTTGAGTCAGAGCTGATGCACTCACGTAAATGCTTTCATTTTCCCCATCAAAATTCATGATAACAAGATTAAAAATTGGTGGAGCAAAAAAAAGAAACATATATCATCTTAGAGGCTAGCATTTGGCACATAATTCAATCGTAATAAGAATGTCATGTGTTCAAGAGGAATTCAACTCTTCGCATCAGGAAAGAGGAATTAGTGTCACATATAGTCCACCTCAACGACCTTCATGAGAAAAATAAAACATTTTTTTCAGCCAACGCACAAGAGATCTCTCGAAGGACGAACATGAAAGATAAGGTGGGTAATAAATATCTTGATGCCATCGTCGTGTGTAAGTTCCATGCTAGTGCAGTACTTCATCCTTCCTCCCGCAAAAAAGTACTTCATCTTGCCGAGGCGCTCCTCTGGATAGCCAGAATGAAATAAAACCAACACATGAATTAATCATCAAAATCAACTTCTTGTACAGACTAGACTGCATCTCGAAGAAACCAACATTGCTCTTCCCGGCCCGTCGTGCACCTGTTAGTTGTGAACCTGCCAGTGAGTGATTCGATCAAACACCCAAGTGACTGCAAGAGTAGAGGACGGTGGCACGTACATACAACCGCGGAAGGGGCAGAGAGGGAGAAAAAATCACATAAAAACCAAATTTCTATGGAAACCGATGTAAACCACGTGGAAACGATATTTTGATTAGTGCCAAACAGTAAATGTCATTATTCATTGTTGAATTTGTCCTTTCCATAGATCAACATGGTAATGTATTTGAACTTCGAATTTCGCAGTGCCAATAGAACATCACCCTCTTAACATGCTGCATTTTTCAGATTATTTTGAACCTTTCAAACATGGGTTTCACAAAGTTCTCTTTGAAACTTAGTTTTCATGTAATACCTCTCGGAGAGAAGAGCCACAACAACTTGGCATTGTCCGTTACCACCGCGAGTGCAAGATCGTGATTAAGGTTCACATCGCTCGCTAGGGAAGACAAAAAGGATAGTGGCCGAATGAGATGGTGTCATGAGTGACAACCCGGGTAGAAGCTTTCCTCGTTGTTCCACCGCCGTTCACCTCCAGATGTGACATTTCGCATTGAAGAGAGAAGACGCACGCGTGCAGGCCTAATACTCTTGCAGACTCATGCAGCAAAAAAGGCCCAGGCTTTTTTTAGGAGTTTGTATTTGCAGCTTAGATGATGTTTTATGAGGGGAACCCTATTCTGCGTGTAGGTCACTACAAAACGACCTAGCGCCTACCCCCCCTCGGGAGCGTGGTCCTCTTTTGGGAAGGTTGTAGAACCTACAACCTTCCCTGAACAGTTTTTTTTTCTTTTCCATTTTGTTCTTCTTGTTTTTTTCTTTCTTTTTATTTTTTATTTTTTTCTTTTCTATTCTATTTTTTGTTTTTTTTGTTTTTCTTGTTGCGGACATCTTTTAAAATATGTGAACATTTTTTGAAATCATGAATATTTTTTGATTCATGAACATATGTTTGAAATCATGAACATTTTCGGAATTGACAAACATTTTTTTATGAAACCATGACCATTTTTCAAATTTGAAGAACATGTTTTAACTCCCAAAAAGCTATATTTTTGTGAACAATTTTTGTTTAATTGTGAACATTTCATTAGATCGATGAACATTTTTTTGAGTCATTTATTTTGTTTTAAATTGTGAATATTTTTTTGAAACTTGAGCATTTTGAGAATTGCTGAACATTTTTTGAATCAACGAACATTTTATTAGTCGGAAAACATTTTTTGCATTGATGAACATTGTTTTGAATCAAGAAACTTGT